CCGGGGGCTCCGCAACGCTCCAGTATTTCTCCTCTTTGAATAGAGCTGGCAGAATCCATAATTGCTTCCATTCTCCTTGGCTAAAAACGAGGAAAAGCCCGGCACCCCGCCATGGGGATTGTTCAGTGCAGAGTCGATACGATGACGGCCTCTGCACCAGGAGTCGCCTATAATAGGTGGTGGCAATGTCACCACTCAGCTTGTTTTTTAATATCTCTTTTTTTTTTTTTCTTTTTTTTTTCTTCTCTCTCCTTTCATGTGTTGTTTTCTTTTCCCCCTGGGTGGAGCGCAACTGGGGAGGTGATGACTTACCTGCCACAGCTCGGTAGATCGCAATCTGGAACTGGCAGAGTGTTAACACAATGCCCCAGCAAGAGCTTTTCTGTCTCTAATTTCTGTGATTATGTTGTTACTGGATCAGTGAAGAGAACCATGAAAAACACAATTACCAGGAAGCCCTGGTCCTTTCCTCGTCCCTTTGTCTCCCTGCAGGATCGGGTGTGTGACTCACGGAGCAATAGAGGACCCGCCGTACTCACCCGCGCTACCGAAAAGGGTGCTGCCCGCTGATGGGACCCAAGCGTGGGAAAGCCTGACCGCTGGCTGAAGAGGCCAGTCATGTCATATTTTGCGTCCGGCATTCAAATGTATCCTGGTGAATCGAGTGATAGCAGCTACCTGCTCCTGCTACAACGGCGGCTGAGCGGCAGCAGCGCAGAAGAGGGACTGTGAAATCCTCCCCGCCACATACGAAACCACAGGGAAGGGAAGATGGTTGTGGATGAGCTTGCTGTTGCAGGACAGCAATGTTTATTAGGTCACTGGCATAGCATCAGACTAAAGGGAAAGGGGCCGAGCAGGTTTTGACTGTGGGCACCGGTCCCAGGTTTGCTCCGTGCAAGCCCACCTGTGCATCACAGCCTGGTGGGGCTGACCCGACCCTCTTATGTGATGCATAAGGAAAGGAGAACTTCACTTGTTGACTGCACTCCAAATCACGTATAAAGCAAAAGCTCCAACGACAAATGCCGATAGCAGCAGAGCGGTCGATATTTTTATTATTAATTCTTATTAAAAATGTCAGCTCAAAGTCAACACCAACTCCCAACGGATCTGATAGGCGAGCAGGCTCCAAACTGACGGTTGAAATGCACTATTTGCCTATTGCGTGCTGCAAAAATAAACGTCTAGCAGGAGAAAACAGGCTTTGGCAAACAAACTGACAACAAGCGATGCTTGTAGGGAAGGCTCGTGATTTGATCTGGAAGGGAACACTGAGTATAAATAGGGATAAAGTTTACCTTAAGCATGCATGAAAGGCAGGGCTACAAGCCATGGTTTGGACTTCATTCTTCTACTGGAGACCAGTTTGAGACACATCTGCTATTTTACGCCCTGTGGTCTACACTCATTACAAAAAGACACCAGCCACCTCTGAAAGGTTTTTAAACAATAAAACATTTTTTTTCCCGTCCCTGGTGTATCAGTTCATCAGTAACCAATGAGAACATAAATTCCTGCAGGTGAAGAGAAATCCCTTGATCTCAGTGGTGATAAACCTTTAAGCAGAAGTTTCCCTGCCTATAGATCCGTGGCACAAACCTTTCTCGCCTTCCTGTGCTGAGGGTCTAAATGTGGGCAAATGGTATGTGGTGCAATACCGGTATGCTATTAATATAGGTATTAGGCTCTATAGAGTGAATCAGAATCTGTTTAAACACTGGTGTAGCCATGAACGACATAATCCGGGACATATTTATGTGGGATTTGTTGACTGTCTTTATTTCACATACTGGAAAAAACCCCATCTGGAAGCAGGACTCCAGCGAAGGGAAAGTCAGCTATCTCTGTCAGGGATCTCTGTTCGCCCCCCGCCTTTCAGCCATCATTGGAGATAAGCGCAAGATGAAGGGAACCAGTGTGGGGAAAGGGGTTGGGGGGGGAAGAGACGGGCTGGGGGTTTCTCGATGCTTCTTTTGAAGTCACCAGCGTAACTCCTGACATCTTCGATGGGGCTTGGCCGGGCTCCGTGCCTTTGAAGATTTTGCTAAGGCTCAAGGCCTTGATCATGGCAACGTTTACGCCTGTGAGTTAACTCTGTGCGGATGAGCACTTCCAGGGCACTCAGCGGGACTCTTCGTATGAGACTTTGCAGGATCGGACTTAGGCAATGAGCGCTTAAGAGAAACATTCTGCTCGTCGTGCTTTTATCCTTGACCACATCAAATGAAACGCCTTGGCAGTTCTGGGAGAATGAATTTGCATTGAAAACCCACAGCTCTTACAAGCAGTGCATTAATTATTTTATTAATTTGCTCTTTTTACATTATGGGAAACATTCATCTATTTACATTTTCCTGTCCACACACAAACTAGATAGATAATCCTATGGAACCCCAAATCATTAAATCATAAAAACACTCTCCTCTGTCTAAAGGCTTTCAAATTTGTGTCTTGTGTTCCAAATCAAAAACATGTTTAAAATCACATTTAGGAATGCAGGTAGGCCAGTGATTTACATTCCAGTTACTTAAAATATGCATTTGACCATTTTCCTTAAGAAAAAAACCCAAACCCAAAAAACCAATAAATTCACAAAGATACAGTTTAAATTAAAGTGATAGTGCACATCAAAGCATTAAGGGAACACCAATAAATAAACTGAAATATATTACAAATAAATTATTTCTATTTACCTTTTCAAATATTAAAAATCTTTAATCCATTTCTTCATCTTTCTTTACAAAAAGATTATGAGAATTTTATGGAAACATCTGCAAAAAATATAATAAATACTTCTTTTTTATTTTTAACTTTTGAAGCAGGAGACAAAACCAGCCTTTTCTAAAATTTCCCCCAAGGAAAAAAAAAAAAAAGCAATACTTTAGTCACAAAGTGAAACAGAATATAGGCATTTTTAAAATACACTGGGCAGGTTAGACTAAAAACAAATAGTTACAAATTATAGTAAAACAGATGATAGAGCAAATATACTAGCATTAGTGTCGATAAATGAGTCAAGTGGTTAACTAGTGGCATTCTAGGGGCAGAATTATTCTATTTTATATTTCTTGGTCATGGCTGTATTTTTAATATTTTGCTAAAAAACTAAGCAAACATTATAATACCTTCTCTAGTGCCAAATGAACTAGTAGGCATTCAGCTGAGAATAGATTCATTTAAAATAGATACCAAAAATATTCTATGATATACAAAGACAATAATCCTTAAAGTACAAGACTAGATAGTCTTCACTTTTCTGCTTTTTTAGGGGGAAACTTGCTGGGTATAAATTTCTGTAGCCACTTGTCAACCAAAGTCTTAACTCATCCTTCATAAAACGTTCACAAAACTAAGTCTGCGACACGGTTGTGAATGTGGACTCTCACCTGGATACTGCTTTGAGTATTTCAGTACAAATGAGTTCCAAATAATTAATACTTCCTATGACTATATATGCTCAAAAGTGGCAGTTGGCACTATTACGTACTGCAAACACGGTGATGTTTCGTTGCTGCTAAAAGTTAAACGCGGTGTTTCAAAACTAGCAAATACACTGGTATTCAAACGCTTAGAGGGTCAAACCTTTCAAAGCTCCTGTAACACAAAGCACTCTAGGGTTACACTGGATTTCTGTTTACTCTAGTTAAAAGTCTTTTATATATTAAATTATTAGCCCTTATCTTGTAAACCACAGCAGTAAATAGTTGTGCCCTGTTTATAAAGACATAGCTCAGATATCAATGGCTTTGAGAGGTAGCAAATTCTCTAGTGGTTTTAGTATGCTCACATGAAAATACTTGGTGCCAGAACCTATTACCTCTCCTATTTTCTTGAATAAAATTAAATTAGCACCTGGCTATGATGTCGTAGGAAAAAACAGCTGTCTGGCATGATCTCGATGAATAGTTTTAGCAAGAGCTTAACTTTTTGATGACGGTTTTTAAATGCTTTTTTTAAGTGCAAGCTGTGGAATTGCGCCACCAGTGCGGCGGGATTTTTCCTGGCTTGGACCGTCGGTACAGGTTTAAGAGCTACGGGCACAGCCAGCCCGCGTGCCGCGATGGCGGCACCCTCTACCCCCTCCATGGGGAGGGCTCTACAGGCGCCTGCTCCCATCGGGAGCCGAAAACAGCCTGCTGCCTTCCTCTCCCGTGTACCCCTGCCCTGGCAGCCGGGATGAAGAGCGCGCAGGGGTCCGGAAAGCATCACCACGGGGCTGCGCAGACGGCGGGGTCCACACAGCGCTCCACCGCCCCGCGCCAGCCCCAGCATCCACACCAGCTCACGTCGATTCTGCTTGCGGCAGCAGCACATGCCAGCCGGGCACGCGTGTGCACACGCATGCACGCAGGTAGGCACACACACACACACACACACACTCTCACACAACTTGCTTTCAGCAACATGCCTGACACAGCTTTCCTAATGTTGGCACAAGAGGTTTCGGTAGCGGGTGGTCAGCGTCGTTCCTCCTCAGAGGAGCTGGGGGACAAGTTCCTGCCTCAGCCTGGGGTGGCCGGGGGGGGGGAAAGACACGCAGGGGCTGACCTCTCACGTTCCTCTCCAGCCCTATTGTCTGCCATTTCCCCCCAGTATTAATGAGCTACTTGGGATGCATATTTTTCATGATTGCAAAACAATGGCAGAAGCCAGGGTAGGAAGGCTTGGCGAGAAAAAAATATTAAGTTCATATTGATCCCATAACTCGTGGAAAATACTTCATTGTTCTTCTTCAGATGGGTATTTTATACTATTAAGAGGAGGCTGAATTAGAAACTTATCCTAGATATGGACCGTTTGGTGATAAGCAGTCTGAACTGTAGCATACAATCGGCTGTGGATAGAGCAAAGCAAGCTTGGCCGGAAAAGCATCAGAGGCTCCACGTACAGCAATTCGCCTACAGGTGTCCGTGTGTGGCTGCGTGGACGTGTGAGATCGGATGGTCCCACCGAGATTAAGACATCAACAAAACCAAGCTTTTTTTTTCTTTTTTCTTTTTTTTTTTTTTAACCAATATAATCCATACAATACAATACAAGAGGAATTGACAATACAGTACAATTTTAAAAATTCTTAATACTTGGACAAGAAAATCCTTCTTTTATATTATCTCTTCAACTGTCATTGCTTCTTATCTCCTTCCTTTTCACTCTTTTATTGCCTTTCAAAATAGATTATTTCCCTGGAAGATCGAATTTACAATCTTCTGCTGATTGAAATGTTTAAGTAGTGATTGATGAAATAAAAATGAGGCAGTTTGTGCAGCTGTGAGTGTGCAGGTATCTTTCCACAGGATCTTTTCTATCCCTCGCCATCTCACCTGTGGGATATACTTCCACTTTTTCACCCCCACAGACCTGTGTTTTTTTCGTCCCCCCTCCCCTTGTGTGACTCCTTAAATTCAGGTGAGAAGGTGTGATTCGGAGGTGTTAGAATAAAGTGCGCCATCTGCTTTAAAAAAAACAGTAATAAAAAGAAGGGAATCCGAGTCATAGCTCCTTTCATCTTTTGTGAGGAAGACGGCAGAGTCCAAAAGGATCACCCTGCATGACTGAAATTTCCAAAGTCCCCTACAGTTTGATATTGCTGTACACCGGGTAACAGACTAGCTTTAGGTCAACTAAAGATCATGAGTAAGTTAAATGGAGCATCTACTGTACAGGTGCGCGGGTGTGTGGAAGTCTGAGCGCCGCGTTTATTTGTTTCAAACAGAAAAGAAAAAAAAAAAAAGAAGGATCGTACTCGTTTACATGAGGCAAAGTGGCAGCATCAGTACATGTGACAAAGCATCGTGATGACATGGGCGAACCTTCAGAAAGCAAGGGTGATTAGAGGACATCTCTCGGAGGACCGACAACTACGCCACGGCAGTGGAGTTCACTGGGAGCATCGGGGCGGCTGCGTACAGAGAGAGGGGAGGGGGAGAGGGGGGGAGAGAGAGCGAGAGAGAGGAGGAGGAGGAGGTACAAATACTTCGTGGTGACCTTGAGCAGGAGCCTAGAGGGGCAGATTATACATGAGGCTTGTCTTGCCAGAGAGAGTCCTCCCGGTTGGATCCCTTCATAGCCTGGTCTGGGCTTCGGGGATGTATATCTCAATGCTTTCGGCGCTCTCGGTAGCTGAGTTCTGGCGGACCGATGCAGCGCGCTTGGCAGCCATCAGCCGTTTCCGGGCCTCTTGACGCTGCGAGCTTTCCAGAGAGCGTTCTCGTATGAGTGGCACCTGACCTTTCGATGGCTTCTTTGGCACTGGAGGAGGGACCCTTCTCTCCTGATCAAAGCAGAAGGTTAATGGCATTATACAGCTTCTCAGGGAAAGGCGGGAAAAACTAGGATACGTCAGTAGTTAGAACACACATTTTACCTAAGGTTTGTTAGCTCTTATCTGCCTTTCTGTCTTCAGTGAACTGGCTTTTGTGCTCAAGGGTTCATAAACATAGGGCAAATGGCAAAAGGGAGGGGAGGACCGGCCGCAGTGCTACTTCTCCTCGGGGACGGTGCGTGTGAAACGCCCGGCGCTGCCAGGGCCGAGACCCCCACCGCTAACCGCTTAGTGCGGCTCCCCGGGGCGGGGGATCCAGGCGTCTGCGCCCGGCTCCAGGGACTCGGAAAGGAGAGCATCTCGGACGCCGCCTCCCGCCACCAGCACAGCCGCCTGCGTGTGGCTGGGGAGCGAACGCCGCTCTCGGCAGAGGAACCCCGGAGAGCCCCGACTCCTGGGCTACCCTCTTCTATACGTGCATAATGCTAGGCGCTCTTACAACACGGATGTAACCGGGGCTTTGGCGTTCCCATAATGCAGACGGGAACTAGCTGCCTGCAGCTGGTGCATCAGAACAGATACATTTTTTTAAAAAACACCATATAGTTACGTATGTATGTATTTTGCAGTGGCTTAATGACTGCTCAAAAATCCCACACTTTGGGTTTCACCGTGCAAGCTCGTAAACTCTAGCCTCCTGCTAAATAGCCATGACACGCTACAATCAGCTAGAAATAGAAAAAAAACTGGTAGGAAAAACTTAAAAATCATTAAGAGAACATGCATTAATCATCACAGTGGCAGCTAGCTCCAGATACGCGATCACAAGGAGGACTTTTATGTATATCCTGGTGCATGTACACACACACACACACAAAATCAACAAAAAAAAACCCCTCAGAGAGGGATCTCTCCCGAAAAAGAAAAGTGTATTCAGGTCTGAATTTCAGGCGGCCACAAAGACTTTGTCAAGTTAATTAGATTGTCTTTTAAGTTACATCCCCTTCCAACTGTGAACATGGTCTCTGAGCGAAGGGATTTTATCACACTACAAAGGTCCCATTCTGCCCTTTCATTTTCTCTCATGCTGCTCACAAGAGCTTCCATGGCTCGAAATATAAAGGTGCTTAGTTACACTTATTCATACTTTGCTTTTTCTCTCCGTCCAAGGATTAATCTATGCTGTTTAAAAAGGGCCCAGTGGCAAAGGCCAAAGGCAACTGCAAATATAAATTCCACAGAAAGCTTTTTCTTCTTTTTTTTTTAATCCTTTTTAAGAAAGGAGATGATCTGTTTCATCGAAAATCATAGACAAATGCTGTTGAAACAGGAACACAGTGTAATTCTTTAAAATCTTTACCTTCCTAATGTAGGTCCCTTTCTTCAGGACTACATAACTTCCTTTAACCCGTTATAGTCTTCTTTTTGTTGGAAACTCTTTGAAATGTTTTTCAGAAGCAAAGAAAAGGCACATTTTTTTTTTTAAGGAAAGCTCTCGTTTCTCACTGCTGCAATTGCAAACACCCGGCCTACCCGCTTTACTGTAAAAGCTAATGAAAGACCATACACCAGCATTTCTGTGCATGCATGTTTGACGGTTTTAACTTCCTTTTCTGATAGATACTGAAAAAAAAAAAAAGATAAGAAAATGACTTGCCTTTAGTACCTTGGACTAGGAAAACACATTCCCATTCATTCCCCTACAAAACACATTAGGTGTGCACAAATGGTGTGAACATGGCACTCCTAAGTCAGGAATGAGTATTTAGTCTTGATCGGAGGAGGAGGGAGAGTGCTACCAGCACTGCCTTTGCAAGCTTCCTGCTGCAAGATTAATGGGGTTTGATATTATTATGGTTATTTGCCCGAAAGAAAACACCGCTTTGGTCATCGGCAGCCAGCTGACCGTGAGTTGGGGCAGCCCGGACTCCTGTCTGAGCCACTGTACCTGTAAGTCACGTTCCTCCTCCTTCTGGTGACCCTACCTGTTGGCTTTATTCATTGCTATCAGACCAGCCACAGTGAAAATTCAGCCATCCAATTACATACCTACAGGAGCGCAACATTAGACCGTTGATTCCTCTAGGAATGGGTCTGTCTTTTAAGGATTTTCTGAAACATTTGTGTATTTTGGCTCACCCAAGTGCTGTTTTTCTCAATGCGGATAGCGAGGAGAAAAATAAGGCAATGGTGCCAAATGAGAATGGAAAGTGAAATGTGGCTCACACTTGGAGATGTGGCAGTTTTTCATGGTGACAGAAGAGGACTACATTTAAAAAAAAGACCAAAGCTCCAGATGATTTTTATGCTACCTTGGGTAAACAACACTGCCAGCAAAGTGAACCTGTTCATGAAATCACCCATTAAAAAAACCCAAAATAAACAAAAAACTAAACAAACAGACAAAAAAAAAAAGGAGATGTAGAAGTTCTTTCATGTAACATTTTGGAAGGCATATTTTTGTTATCGCTCTGTTTGTAATCTGGTTACCAAAGTCAGCGATGGTTACAGTGCTTCCCTAGTTTTTTCAGTAACACAACCTAGAACTCTTGCTATATGCAATAATATGAACCGTAAATGTGATTTATTTAATTTTAAGAATCAATATATAAGGCAGTTCCTTCCAACGATTGATCGTCTAATATGATTAAATGTAAAGCTTAACAAAGTACCACATTCCCATTATCCGATTCACAAAGACAGATTTGGTTTAAAAATATGCCTGAAACATATTACAGATAATATCCCAGATGATTATTATGTAAACATTGTTATTACAATGAAATTAATTTGATATGAGCTTCATTTCACATTTTTAACGTCAACGCTGTAACACAGAGGACTATTTAATCTGTCCAGTATTTGTGCAGGGTTTTAAATGAAGCATACAAAATCTACAATGTTCTACCTTCTTGTCATGAGGATCCATCTGTTTCCAATTATTGGCCTTTAACTGATGAAGTTCATCAAATTTCATACTAATATTTTCTATGGACAACTGCAGCATATCCCAAAACCCTGCTAAATCCTGGGAGGTCGGCCGTGGATGTGCATTAGGATTCTGTGCAACAGAAGAAAAAAAACATGTTGGCGTTAGTACCTCTTAATGTAAAGCATTTGTGCAAATGGTTACGAATCTTGCTAGCAAAGCAGTTTCAGCAGATCCAAGCGATCGGTGCGACGCAGAGAGAGAAACAAAGCGGAGCGTTACTTACTGGCGGGGGGTTTTTGCAAGCCACTGTGCCTCCGCAAGCCCCTGCTCAACCCAAGGAAGCGGCTATGCCCCACAGACCACGGGGAAAGGGCAGGTGGCAGGCCCCCTGTGGCAGGATCTCCCCGTGGATGTTCCTGGGCATAACCGGTGGTATCCTAACCGCACCAAAATTAATCGCCAGCCTCCTCTTCGCTTTCATGAGGAAGGACTCCCTGCCATGTTCACACTTGTCAAGAAGACTCATACCTGGGCAAATGTACCTTTTGCTTCACGTGCAAATAGTGATATACCAGTGCGTGAACACTTTTTCCACACTCTGAGAACTTAAGTTCTCCAAAAATACACCATTTCAAGTAAAATTGCCTCTTATACGCCTCAGGCCAATTTTTTCATGCTTTTTTTGTACAAGAATAACCTCTGCTGGGCGAAAAGCTCAGAAGAGAACATGCAGAAGCACAGTAATCCCATTTTTACAGGCGAATTTTTGGACAGAGTGAGACTGGGACACAGGTGGGAAGTGTTGCTTTGCACGTGCAAACTCAGCCTAGTCCATCAGCCTGAGAGGTTTGCTCAGAAGAGCACACCTGGGCCATTAGCATCTCTAGCATGGCCTGGGCCAGAGGCTGGTGACACGAGAGGTCCTGTTGTGTCTTGTGTCCCTTCAGTGCAACTCAGCTCTGAACATTTTCTGCATACAGTGGACATAGATGAAATGGTGCCTGCTATGTTGGCAAAGTTCATATGAGGGAAGTCTTTCTACGGGATGTGTCTCTATAAGCTGGTTCCCAATTGAAACTCTTCCAACAAAATGCGGTGTTGCATACGCTAGCTTCAAGAATGTTTTTTCATAAATGCTGAGCAGTCCCTATGCCAATCTGAGTCAGCATGCTTTCATGGATACTGTGGCCTCATAAGATCACATTGATATAGTGTTATTAAAAAAGATAAATAAATTATTATAAATTAAATCCATTATTATTAGACCCCTGCATGTCGTTTTACATGGCTCTAGTTTTACTCTGTGTTTAAGTTTTCTCCCTCACCAGAAGCAATAAACCCAAAAGAGTCAATTGCTTGCCTTAAGAAATTTCTAAGTAATGGTGCTTTTCACAGCAACGTTGGCACGTGATTTTGCTAGGATGATTATACCACTAAAGGAGCAATTATTGAAAACAATAAAGTATCTATTTTAGATTCATAAGGAGAACAGAGTTTATATCTGGATTCCTAGTTTTTCAGTGCTTCACACTAGCATGTTGCCCAGCTGTAGGCCTTTATTTACAAAGATTTGTAACCAGAATTCTCCTTTGATTTTTCTATTAAGAATTGGAAGGCTTCAGCAGAGCTGATTTCTGTTGCATTTGTCCACTGAAGCAGATTTTAGTTTGGGGCTTGATTCTCAAAGGTGCATTAACTGAAGCGGAAGTTGGTCACCCCAATCTGATGCGTATCACAGGGTTTGCCTTCCCTTCCCTATTCTATGCTGATGGACCTCTATGCTTTTGGGGCTTCTAGGAATTTATGCCAAAATTGGAAATGAAATGTATTGTATCTGTACGGATTGTTAATTTAAAAAGTTGAAAATTTTTATAAGTGCTGGCATTTTTGAGAATACTGCTTTAGACACATGGTGTGATATGTATTTTTATTTATCAATTGGAATACAGCTCTGATTCTACTACTACTAACAGCATAAAAATAGCAAATAACAATAATAATAGTGGTAGCATATACCAATGACATACAGTAATTATAGTGATAACATGCTGGTTCTTTGCCTCTTTGCCCTTTTAGCACTCTGGAAAATGACTTTTGCTGTTGGGTTTGTGGATCTGTGAGGCCCCAACTTTCAGTGTCTGATTTCCTGGTATTTCTGTCTTGCTGAATACAGGCGACATTGGGATTACGTGGGAAAGCCCCACTCATGAGACTTGGGGTCCATCCTGACAGACCCAGAAGAGGCACCCACACATCTCTCTGCCCATGCAAACTGAACTCAGGAGCCAAGGGAGAGATCCTTGCTCCTCTGAAGTCACTACCAGAGTTTCAGTGATATTTCATCTGAAAATTTTTACCTGTCTTTAAGGATCTCAAGCTATTGTGAAACTCATGCTGACTCCACCAAGTTTGACAGTTACTCCTGAATTTACATCTAGGCCTTTACTGGAAAAACTACTGTGTTAGTCAGAAAATCTCTGTCTAGTTTAGGCATGATTATTTACAGGGTTAGTGAAAGGTACGCAACAGTGTCTAGCAGCAAAGTTTACATACCAGGTTTTCTTCACAAAGTTCTCTGAACTGGTAAAATTTCTGGGCCATGAGAAGCTGGGCACTGCCCACCGCAGTTCGAATTTTCCCTAGAACTGAGAGAAAGAGAAATATAAGTCATGATGCTTTCTTTGCTGCGGGCAACTAGAAGCCTATAAAAAGAGAGGAGAAGGCTGTGCAGTGGTCAGCTCTGGTTTTCAAAAAGCATGTTATCTCTCAGTCACAGATTAGAGATAGGCTGATAAATCTGAGGCCAGATTGGCACGAGGCAAAGGCGTACCGCGAGGGCTCCTCGGGCAGCTTGCATTAGCAAAAACACTCATCTGTTGCTGCAGCGTACTCTCATTCCTGCAGTGAGATCAGTTGTAACCAGCAAAAAGCACTTCCATGGCAGTATAAATATGGCTTATTAAAAGCTCTTGCAACCTGTATAGAAAGCTCACCAGAAATTACACCTCTCGCCATCACTGTGACCCAGGCTCAGGCTTTGGACACAAACCCGGCTCCCTGTGCAAGGACATGCGGCTTTTAGAACCTGTGATGCCATCTACACTGTCCAGACAACACTGCGTCTGCTCGCATTTCTGCCACCTCGCTTAGCAACTCGGCGCCTTGTTTTCAGGTTTAGCTGACTGTTGCTCCATCACAGCCCCGGGGAGGGAATGGTGATTTTAATGCACAGCAATGAACCTCATTCGGACCCTCTGAGTATTTATCATGGGCACAATCTGAAGTGGCTTCTGCCTTTGAATCCAGGTACCCAGGCATATGTCAGGGAGCAAACACACCCTGGCCTCTCTTTCTTGCGGGTGACCTGGAGGGAGGCATCAAAGAGGCCCAGCTCCTGCGCTGTCTGGGGTCTCCTTTGTACAGACAGCTGGGTAGTTACAGTCCCTTTGGACTGAGTACTGTGAAGGACCACAGTCAGCCAGAAGACAGCTCATAGTAAATAAAACAAGAGCTCAGACTATTTTGGTTGTGTTCAACCTCACTGGAACGGTGGGCTTTTTTTACCGCCGCAAGGGGTAGTTGAGAATATGTTACCCGAAACCGCTGAGTCCTGGTCAAAGTCTGGAGAGTGTGTGTGTGCATGTGCATGTAAAAAGAAGCAAGCATGCAGAAACAGAGCAGAAAGATAGACATGGCCTCAACTGGCAGTAGGACAGTGAATCCAGAAAAGAGAGTACGATTTTGAGGGCTGCTGATCAAAAGAAAAATGATGCTGTGAGTAAGAAAGCAGCTACCAGTTTGTTTGAGACTTTCGGTGCTCAGGAAAAAAACCCAACAACTATGCTTTATGCACTGTCTTTAAATAAACAGGCTGGCATCACAGATGTATCTGGCTCCATCATTAATTTCCCCTCTCAGCTGAAGCAACTTATTGCCTCCCAATTCTTTGGTTAAATATTTATTTTAAAATTAATTTCATTTAATAACAAAAAAAATATTTACCACTTCATTAATGAAAACCATGAATGGCAGCCACTGTGTCACAATTTTCACTATCGTTTCTACTCATAGATACTTGCATTGTCCCAGCCCTCATATAAACACAGCAACTTCTCCATGACAAATTTACAGTCTGGATACATGAGGCAGGTGAGGGAGGAATAGGAAAAACAAAGAGGTGAAGCGGTTTGCAGAGCCTGGAAGAGATACTAGTCCTTCGCTCCCATCCTCTGTACATCCTTTGGGCACGGTCACTTTTTGTATAAAACCTAACGCAATGCCAGCAGAGCTCCGCTGGGAAAATACTGCTAAGTGTTTTGACTTACCACGATGAAAAATAAATAAATAAATAGACAAATAAAACTTTGCTCAAACCCCTTCTGGCAACGTTTTTAGGGTCTCATGGTCCTGTGACTGGCTGCTGTGCATGTCGGCAGCTTGTGACCAGAATGCCACCATGGAGTGTTTGGTAAGAGAAAGGCCTCTCCACGGGATACACTTGCATAGCCACATGCTAAGCAAACTGGCACAAATGCTCACGATGAACTGAAACCAGACACAGAGTAGTAGGAAATCTGTGTTCTGCTCCTTCAAGGCAAATGGCTTTTCCTTCAGCAGCCTTAAAGCTCGCTCCTTAAGGCTGCTAAAAGAAAAGTGGGATGCGAAGTTCATTTATACTTCAGACATACAAAGGAAAGGACAAAAAAAAAAAAAGGAGGGTGAAGAGAGTCTTTTCATATTTTTTTCCAAAACTACAGGAGAGAGGTCTGTGAACACACACAGAGCCCAGACTTTCGTTTTGTTCCCAGAACTCAGGTCAGCACTGCCAGGAAATAGCCGTGAGCTGGAAGATTCACTAAGCAGAATATTTTCAGCATATTGCGCAGGGAGTTTTGCACACAACTCTCATTATTGTTAGCAAGGCTTGCGTGTCTAATTCTATGCGCACAGTGCTGAAAATGGACCCCTTGGTGTGTCTAGTCATTTATGCAACCCAATATGCAAACCACTCAACTGAAAGGACTTTTCAATAGTAGGAGGAGCTACTCTGGGAGCTTTCATGTGGTTCCCATTGTTATGAAAACTCTTCCCACTGAGTATATTTGGGAACAGCTGCCTCATCTGGAGCTCGGCCACTCTGACGCTTCCCAAGACTTGAGGAGGGGAGAAAAAACGGTCTCTCCACTTCTCGGGACACAAAAAGACGAGGCAGGCTCTTCCTGGAAAACTGCACCACCCGAGTTGGAAATCACATCCCAGGCACCAAGAAATGTAAATACACCTTGTTGGCGATGGATGGGAATGTGCCCCTTTCTTTGAGGGAAGAAGAGCTTAATATTCAGTGATCTCAACAGAGGGAAAAGGAAGTCCTTGTCCTTGGCTGCCTAGCGACTGGCTATTTGCCTAAAAACCATCATCCCAGCTGACTGTGGGATGCATGCTGATGCTGTTCTCTATTGTTGCCACTTCTGCTGTAGCCGCGGCTGTATCTAGTCAAGTGTCACTGATTCCTCACCCCTCAAAAGCAAGCGGTCTGTTAATGTGCAACCAGTCAACAACCAACTCCATCACGGAAGTTGGGGGGGTGAGGGGGGTGGAGGACAAAGCATTGGAAAAACTGAAAGGAATCTCTCCAGAAGGCACAAAGCCTTATCAATAGCCTAAGTTTTGTTTCCAAAGGTGCGTTGTTTTTAGTGCTCAAAGGCAGAGTGCTCGTTTCGCTTACTCAGTCGAAACCTCTGGTGCCAAAGAGAAAGGCCAAGGTGTAGTAAAAAACCCAAAAAGTAAAAATAGACTGATACTTTTTTTTTAGGAGAAAAGCCTGTGAGGTTTGAAGCCAAATGCCAAGAAAATAAATGGAATTGCAAAGATAATACTCAAAATACATCAGAAAAGAATCAGAGAAATCTGCAACAGCAAGGGAGATGGAGTACAGGAGGAAAACATATAAATGTTCAAACTGGTGTGTTCAGCTAATAGGATACAAACAAAATGTATAAAACCAAGCAACAACAAAAAATACTGACCCATCAAGATGCAATCATAATGGATTTAAACACCTATATAATGTTATTCATGTCTGCTTTCTATTCCATACAGGGTTATACAGCACACTCAGCACTGTTGGATCTGAATGCCTTCCAGTAATGCATTAAGGAACATTATTAACATCCATCATATGCTTTGCTGTCACCCCTTCCCCAGGGGGAGAAGTGTGTCTACTGCAGTGTTTTGTTTTTATAGTCTGAATTTTCCTCTCCCTTGCTTTGACCTCTCTTCCTTGTAAATCCAGTTGTCCTCTGTCACAACTTTTAAGAAATAGACAGTTATACCTATTCTGGAAGAACTGCTTCGGTATAGCTATTTTGATATAATTCAGATACTGTAGAGTGCCTCCTCGCTATTATTGTTCTTGACTGGGGGTCACAGAATGTTACTCTAGGATAGATACATGCCCGTGAATTTCCTTGTGTCCCTAACCCCCCCAACCTGTTCTCCTTTTAAAACATTCTTAAATACAGACTTAGACTTTGTGCTGTTCAAGCAGTAAGTTCTTGCTTCTCTTGGTTCTAAGAACTGCATAGGACCTGCTTTGGGATTGTAGAGTTCTATGTAGCCCTGCCCTCCGTGTCTTCATGGGAAAAGAAACAAAACAAAAAAAGAATTGCAAACACAAGCAAAAAAAATGGTGATACTGTCATCTGCTCTACCTTGGAAAGAGACTGGGCGTAACGAGGATAACAAAATATAAGAAAACAACAGCAAAAATCACCTGAAGTGATGTGAAAAGTCATCACATAGAAAGAAGCCATGGGAGTTTTGAGGAGGGGCAGTATTATTTGGTCTTAAACCACCAACTGATCTCTTTGCATTTCAACTTTGACAGGCCCCAGGGTCTAACGAGTGACAAAGGAGACACTTTAGGACTGTGACTATCAAATGCCCTTAATGTGAAAACACCTGGTTGGTAGGCAGGGCAGCAAGCTAGGGAACAGAAAACCAGCCACTCGCTCATTGCCCCAGGAGCAAGTGGCAGGAACAATAGCTGAAATTACAGGGACACAGCCTGACATTTGCGTTGCAAATGTTGGCTGGGCACTGTGCATATGAAGCAATCCTGCCATAGAGCTGTCACAATCCATTTCCAAGCCAGGATGGACCAGCATTTTAGCCTATTCTTGTTGACAGACCTACATTTAAATAACACCAAGCATGACAAAAGCCAGGAAATTCAAAGTTAAAGCTACTACTCAGGTCTTAAGCTCTGCTTTTAAGGAGAAAAAGGCCAAATGGAGCAAGCTACGGAGGGGGCAGTCCTTGCTTTGAGTCATATTTACTTATAGGAGTGATCTCACTGACATTAATAGGGCTGTCTGCATGAGTAAATGCTGTTCACTGGGAGTGAAGCAGTTTCCATGTGTTCTCTGACTTCCCTGGCTTTTATTAGCAGGCTCCACATTTTTTCCCTAACTTTATTGTTTTGTTGCTTGCGGATTTCTCTTTTCTCCTTGCTAGCCCTTGGACATTGGCAGGGCTTCCAACCCGGAGCTGGCTCTCCTTGGAGAAACCCTCGCAGACGGAGAAGTCCCTTCTGGGGAGAAAAGAAAGTCGGAGCAAGAAAAGGACGAGTTGGGCAGGCGGCCAGAGGCATGTAGCCAGGGGGATTCCAGCAGGACTCGGCCACACGTCAGGCTGGTGACTGTCCCTCTGCAAGGCTGCATCAGCCTGCTGCGGGACGAGGCCGCCTCGCTCCTCCGAGTGGCGGCAGGGACCACGATAGCTTGGGGAAGCCCTGCAGAGGGCTGGCAAATGGTTTTCCTCACTCGTGGCTGAGAATGAACTCATGGGTCTTCTTTTCTTTTGCCATGGGCAACTATTGCGAAAAACATATCTTTCCTTTAACTTTCTTGTCGTGTCCAGCCTTCACTCTTTAAGTTTTCTCTTGGAACAATTGAAACAAACCAAAACAGAACGCAGAAAGTGTGCAAGCATTGCATAATTTGCCAGAACTGGCTGAACTTGGTCCTAAGCAGTGAGTTTACTGCAGATTTGAGGTCAACCTGTGTTTGCAGGCTAGCCCAGAGGAGTATAATATATACGCAAGACAGTTATAATGACATGTCTTGTCAGAGCTTTGGTTTTCTGTTTTGGTTTTAACTTGATTGGCCTGACTTGTCTCGCCACTAAACCCACATTACACCTGGCTTGTGGTGAATCAGGCCTGCTGTTTGCTTCCGATGGTTATCTTCGCATCGTAGCCACATTACAACCCCACGTGAAAGAGAAACATTTCTGAAGTGGGGCAAAATGAAGCTCTCCGGTTCTTTGGTTAATGCCCCACGTGAAGTAAAAAAAACAGAAAAAAAAAAAAAATCCAGCAAAAGTGAGGCCAGGGCTGTAGGTGTATGTTCTTGTGGCCACCACTGCTGTGAAAAAATGAGGCCTGAGGCAGCTCGCTAACAGTGCTGCGCGGGGAGTCGGGCCTGTTGCTGCTAATTCTGTGTGTAAATGGTTACTTCAGAAGCCTGAGCCAAAAGTCACCGACATCAGTGGTGAGGCTCTGACTGTACAAAATTGTGCAGGGCAGAGGCAGGAGAACAGAGCAGAGGGTTGAGGAGAAACCCCCCAAAAAAGGTATACAGTTGATTTCACTAGAGGCCGAATCCAAAGCCTCAATCAATTCTCACAAGGTGTTTGACCTCATATCTCTAACATCTTTTTTTTTTTTTATGAGAGCCCTAGAGTTTGGAGCCAGCAACTCTGTAACAGCAAAATACACGGAAACCGTATCAAGTATCCGAGCTTAAAGTCTGAGTGGTATTCATCTGCCTGTTGCACATGCCGTGGCTTTATCAGAAAATTATTTCAGATAAAACCAGAATATTCTATACAATAAATAATTCATGGCGGAAGGGCAGCCACATTTCTCTCTATATTGGCATTTCATCGTGCAGCCACTGAACCACAGCTTGTTTTTATACACAGCAGCAGACTCCATTTCCCAGCTAGAAACATTCAATCCCATCTGGTAGATTCATTCCCAGCTAGATAATACCCAACGTATCTATGTAACATACAAGCTACTGTCAAACAGCAGCGAGCCGTCTCCCTGAGACAGCTGTTTCGCACAAGGGCCGCATTGTCTGGAGAAAGCACGGATCGTTTTACGCGGAGCACCGGGGGGACGAGCCCTCTGTCAGCTGCCATGGCATCGAGAAAACCTCGCTCATCACACGTTCTTGTTATTTTGTTATCTGGCCAAACACACACTGGGGATGTCAGGTTGAAAACAAAGGATGCGTTCCCTGCTCTGGTTATATTTCATTAGGAAAACCAAAGCAAGCACACCTCTTCTTCTCCTTTTCTCCCTTTCTTCAAAGTTTACAGACGTATGAAAAAGATATATTTCAGGGCAGAGTTTTTAACAATCGGGCTTTTGTTTCTGGCGCTGCTGAGCGGGCAGCGTGGCTCCGACCATATGCTTTTCCTTGGCATCAGGTAGAGCGGGGTGTGCTGAGCTTCAGCGGAAAGCCCCATGCAGCCTCTGAGGGAGGCAGCTGCCACGTGCCAGAGCGGCCGATGGCGTCACACCGAAATCAGTACCTCACCAGTGACTGCAAAATGTGGGCAACCCCTTTCCTCCTCCCATTTCCAGTGATCATGAGAAGTGCCGGTCAGAAAAATGAAGAGGAGGAATGATCCGCAGGACACGTGGCACGTGTGCTGTGAGGAGGCATTGGGAATAGCCAGCCTAACCATTCCTTTATCTTCCCCATAACTGACTTCTCCCACTGATTGCTCAAAGAAGAGCCCTTTAATATAAAAAGCCCGCATATATCAAAGACACCTAGACACTGAAAGAAAATTCTGTATACAGATACACACATTCTGCAAATATCTGCCTTGTGAAATTCACTTCATGTTCTTTTCTCAAGGTGAATAACTACTTCGCTGCACAAATAAAATATTTGTAGGTTTTTCCATTATTATCAGTTCATGGAATCATAGAATCACATAATGGTTTGGGTCAGAGGGGACCCTTAAGGATCATCTAGTCCAACCCCCTGCCACGGGCAGGGACATGTTCCACTAGACCAGGTTGCTCAAAGTCCCATCCAGCCTGGCCTTGTACACTTCCAGGGATGGGGCATCCACAGCTTCTCTGGGCAACCTCTTCCGGTATCTCACCACCCTTATCGTAGAAAATGTCTTATGTCCAATCTAAGTTGTTGTGGCAAAGAGAAAGCAAGTGGGTTTTGTGGCTTAGACTTACAAATGTGTATTTCCTATTTGTTATGCGTTCACACTTCTTTTTCAGGCTAAAATCTCTTTGTTCACAGGGTTTATTTCTTGCATACTAACAACAGAAAACCTTTGTATTCTGATAAACGTTCAAAGAGATTTTTGAATGTGCTGATGACGTAAATTAAAAATGAAGTTCAAATACTCTAAAACTTGGGGAACTGGAATCTGCTTTGAAGGCTAATACTTCTATATTTTTCCCTCAGAAGAAATCGTTAGCCTGTTATACAACAGAAGTCTTGTAGAAATAGAAAGCCTTAACATACCTTAATGTTAAGGTTATTTCATACTTTCCATTAGAAGTCAATTTCCAGTTCCTTACAGTAATGTCTAACTTTAAATATCTAAATCAAACTTCTCTATAGTTATTTCTTTCATTGGGTTGAATGGAAAGTTCCAGCAGAAACAGCTTATGCATTTCAAAGAATTTTAAAAAATATATTTTTTGCCAGTGTTAATTCCTGCCCTTCCAGAAATCAAAACCTTCACATCTCAAAAGAATTCTAGAGCCTCCCTTCTTGAGAGGAAGGGTTAGAAATTTGGAGGGAGCAGTCCTGGAGCTGAAGTAGCAGTCTGTGCTTTGGTAGGAGCTAATTTGGGGGTTGGAAAATTGTTACTTGTATATCTAGGAAAATACACTAAGGTGTGGCTAAATTATACAATATTGAACTCTCTATATGCAGCTGGTCCTCAGTGTTTTCTAGGAGCTCTCTGATAGAATTTGAAAAAGCTTAATTCACAAGGAGCATGCTCCTAAGCTCACAGGTGTACCTATGTCCAAAAGTTGACAGGTATCAATAGTACTGCTCCTTGTAATGGAATTAAATAGCAAAAACGTCAACTTTTACTTGGAGAAAAAACTCTGGTTAAGGAGGCACATGTTCAGCTCTTCTTCCCTAACTAGAGTGAATAAGTAAGACAAGAGTTACCCAACCTGTCTTACTAATGAAGGCTCACTAGACATTCCCATTACCTTACAGGTGGGGTAATACTTCTGGCAGCAGTGACAACTGAGATGTGGTTTTCATGTGTGTGTTTTTTATTGCAGAATACGGAGAGCTTGTTTTACTGGGAAGATCAAAGAGGAATGAGAACTGCAAGGGAGATGAAGGGAGACTGGAGAGGGGAAGACAGGGAGAACAACTTGGAAGCACAACTGAAATCTCAGTTGGGAGAAGAATCTGAAGACTCTGATGCCAATCACCATCTAAAAAAGCATCTAAATTATGAATTTAATGAAAAGGAACTAGAATCTGTTCAATTATATTCTAAGGTTATGAGAAGTGATTTTAAAGGGAAGAGTTAAGAAACATTAATACTACAAGACCCCTAACCACAGTCTCCTAATTATCCATTGAACTGTGCAATCCCAAAAGCTAATACCTCTGGAGTTTCAGAAGTGCTGAGCATTTCCATTCCCTGTCAACTTTAATAAGGATTATTAAATACATTCGTACAGCCCTTTTGAGAATCACAACCATAGCTTCATTAGCTAAATAAGAAAAAATTCAATGGAGTAAATTTGCCGTATATGAAATACTTTTTTGTAGTTGCAATATTATTGTATGCAGTTACTTACTGTCCTCAGGTAAGTTGTTTTCCCGTTCTTCTCTCTCCATCTGTTGGCACCAGCCCTCCATACGATCTCTCTCTGCCTGAAGTAGCTTCAGAAACCAGTGGCCATCTCGTGGGCACACTGACCTTTGAACAGCTTCCAGAGGATCTTCGGTGATAGAGTCAATCCAGGGGTCAGGAGGAGGTAAAATTGATGGATCAAAATCTGTATCAAAGTCATCATCCACTGCACATGCATGGTAATGGTTTCCTGACCCTTGTATGCTAACGGTAGAGGTGCTTGCATCTCGGGAAAATTGTCTTGATATTTGTCCAGAACACGTATTGTCCTCTTGAGGGTCGATTATTTCAAAGTTCTCATGGAAATCCAGGTCTGCTTGCACGGCTGTTGTTACACTATTAGATCGTGTAAACCTGCGAAAGCTTTGGAGAGCACAAACATAAAATGTTTAGAAAGCTTTTTCTAGGTAACTCAGTAAGAAAGGACCTATTAAGATTCTGCCACTCCTCTTAAGACTGGCAGTCACGGCTCTCAGTGCTACACTCAGGTGCTTTTTCTTGAAATGATCAGCATAAACTTCTTTTCTCATTGCAAGGCAACAAACACACACCTCTCTTTTTTCCATGTAACCTCACTGTTTATTGAGGCAAGTACCCCTAATTGTTGTGTGGTTTAACAAAGCCAGAGACTAGCCCAAGGGACAGCTAATAGTGTCAGTAGCTCAGTATTTTAGGCTACCAATTAATGAAAAGTTGAAGGGGCCCAATTTTAAGAAGTGGCTTATCTTTCAGCTTTTAAAACTCACACCCCTTTGAAGTCACATGCCCAAACTCACAAGCCACATTTAAAAATCATACATGTGAGATTGATAAGATAGTAATACCAATGAGTCCACTATCTACGTAGTGTTATGCATTCCATTTACAAAGGAGATAAGTATTTTTAACCCAGATAAGTATTTTGTATTTCTTCTTCATGATTACTCTTCGTAATTATGTACCTGCTAACACCACTGCCATCTCTCACAATTTCCTTTCACCTTGCACAGCTTCCCTATGTTGGAGCATTTGAGGGCAGAGAGCAAACTCTGAGGGCAAAGGCAAAAGCACGGGGGGAGAGAGGTTTGGGGCTTTCGGTTTGGGTGTTTTTTCTTTAAGTAAACGGCACTCCAAATTCTACAGTCCAAGGCGTCTGAGGTGAAGTGGTTGATAGAGAAGGAGCAGAGGGAAGTGTAAGGAGTAAGAGACCCTAACGCTGTTGCAGGGGGTGGGAGGAAAGCACACATGATAAACAGTAAATTGTGGAGGGAATGAGTGCAAAATCTGCAATTAGAGAGTCGGGGTAACTCTAGAAACTGATGCACTGAGGAACACAGGAAAAATACAGGAGAGGCAGACATCTGTCTTGCCCCATGATGAAAGGAGATAAAGAAAGTAGAATCATAAAGTAATTAATGCAGATGTTACTTAAATTAGTAATTTTTAGGCTTCAGAATGAACATAGCTTTGAACTGAATACGGACAGATTCCCATTCCTTCTTACTAATCCAGGATGCCTGCGCACTCATGCAGCTGGTACTTTGCTTTTAATTTGTTTACAATCTCACATTTACTCTTGAAGCCAATGTTAGGACCCGTTTCCCTGTCATAGTTTAGCTGTTTTGTCCTTACCAGGTCTATTTTGAGTTGGAGCTCAAGCAGCAATGGAAATGTTGAGGAGACGGTGGAGCTGGATGCTGAGCACCATTTTGCTCCCTTTCATTTATATTCCACCTTCCACTGAAGAGCAATAGCTCGTTAGACAAGTGCAACTGCCAGTAAAACTTAGTCAAGTGAGGGAGGGAGCAGATGGAAGGATGCTGAGGGAGAATTTGATGTCCTATATACCTGATGCATCCAGATATCTCAGGAGGACTGCAGCAGACTTCAGGGAGGACTGTACCAGGTCCTGCTGATGAAGGAAATTAGTGGCTGTTGATCTGAGGCTTTGAGAGGAGTAGAACAAAGCAAAACAGGAGTTGAGATGGGTTCTTTGATTAATAAAAGACACCAATTCCTCTGCAGAAGAAAGCTACAAGTAGCTTCTCAGACACACCAATCCCTGGAAAACTTGAATAATAGATTGTGTGTAATTTTTTTTATAATGGCCAAGAATACAAACATTGTAATGTGGTGTCTGCGGCTTCCAGCTCTTTTGAAACAGGTGTTGTTAAATGATGCAAAAGTCACGGTTATCCCACCGTAGTTTTGCACGATATGCAGCAGCAAACTGAAAAATATGGAGCGAGCAGAACTCTTCAGCTCAGTAGTATTTATCCTTTGACAAGCAGAGCAAAGCATTTTGCTATGGACTGATACAGCAGAAAAAGTTCAAAAGGGAGGACAAGGATCATTGGAGGCATGGTATGGCTTCCATAAGAGGAAAGAGATTTGTTGGTTTAGAAAACAGATGGCTGAGGAGGGATATAAGCCCTGTGATATCCTGACTAGGAGGTGTTACACCATTTCTCAGAGTGCAAGAACTGTGAGGAGGAAGGCAGCCAGTTGCAAGGCTTAGAGGTCTAGATTTAAATCTAGCGAAAGGAAGCACTTCTTCACACAATGTGTAATTAAATTGCCACAGGATCCTGGGAAAACCGAAGGTAAAAATAGGTTCAAAGAGAATCTGATCAAATTCACAGGAGATAGGTCCAGGAAGAGCTATGACACAGATGTCATATCTGGTTTAGGAAGTCCCTGAACAACAGACTGCTAAATTGGGAAGGTCTACTGGGAGAAGTAGTGCTTTATACACACCCTTTATACTTTTCCTTTACATATACTCCTTTATACTTTTTTCTGAGTATCTGCTAACGGCCCTCCCCACCGGCAGAGGGAAGCTGTCAGACTGGTATTAGTGGTTAGAAAGGCTTTAGCTTTAGGCTGACATTACAATGAAAATCTTTTGGTCCAGCCTAGTTTTTTAAAAATTACTTTAATTTGGCCACCAACCTGACAAATCCCTTATCTACACTGAAGTGCATGCATGCATGCACACACACACACCCCCACACAAACACACACACATAAACGTGTGCCCACACAAGCACATGCTCACACAGGATTTCTTTTCAGTCATTTAGTCAGGGTTCACTGGGAGCCACGGCATTCGTACATGCTATACCCTTCCACACCTTCCAGAGTACTGCAGAGAAAAGCAAATCCCTTAATCCAGCCTTGTTCTTCTCCATGCCCTTACCTCCATATCATAGCCGCCTTCTACTTTCCTCAGTGCCGTAGACTCTGCTATCCTTGTGTTTTAGATGACCATTTGTATTTTCAGTTAACACCCTGGCTTTTCAGTGTACACCAAATCCCAAATGTGGAAACATCAAGGTCTGCTTGCCAAAAATTGTATTGCTGGAGGCACTACATTTCAAAGCTTTCAGGAGTGTACTCTTACTGGGTTCAATATGAGCTAGTACCACCAAAACCAGACTGCTCAACAAATAAAACAGAATGACCCACTTTTTTTGCCTTTGTTTTATCTATATAATAGTATGCTACAGGCTTGCTCGACAGATTCTTGGCACTGGCTTGTGTAACCTGTCTGTCTTCAAAAGAAAAACTACTTGGCAATAGAATATAGCATCAGTTCAAAATTAAAATAATACTCCCAAGGAAATGTATGTTGAATGGAATGGAAATGCAGGAAGGCACCCACTGTCTACCTACCTCCAGCACATCTATACAAACTGCCTAATAGATGGTAATTTTAGTCTCTGACATAGCTTCCTCACTCACTTCCAGGATGTTTTACTCTTACAAATTACCATTTGTGTCCCACATGAGTTTTTTTTGGTTTTGCTCTGAGTTAAAACTCTGTATCACAGGACAGCTGTTGCTAATGCCTACATTTTCCCTGTTTCTACACATACAAAACATTCACAGATCTACGTAAAAAGAAAGTTTTCATAAATTGCTGGTAATCGTTAAAACCAGAGATTTGCTTCTTCCTCTGTTTTCAGGCTCGGTGCTTTTGTAATCAGTTGTGCCCTGCAGGCACAATGTGTAATAATTACAGCTTCAGAGAACTGCAGCAGATATCTGGCCTAAGGTGCAGAAAGCCATGAAACCTCAGACTGGATAAACCAGTATGGAGAACAACAGCATGATGTGTTTTGAACAGCAACAACAGGGTCACTTGTCAGCATTTGACTCTCCTTTCTAAGTCTTCTTTTGCTTTCTTTTGAAAAACTTGTTTACATTTCAACCCAGAGAACTTCCTTCTTTCCTGAAAAAAACCCAAACCAAACCCAAACCCAGAAAAGGTCTAGGTTTCAAACCAATTGATGCATGGTAAGCCTCAGAGGCGCTTACATTAAATTCAGCCTGCATCACTTTACCCACTGGCTGTACTCTTTCTTGGTTGTGGGCTCCCCTGCTAAGCTTGCAGCCATTGTCAGCGGAAGAAACAAACTGCAGAAGGAGTTAGCAGAAACGGTACCGTGTCTTCTAATGTCAGGATCTTCGGCCATACATCTTCGAGCTACACAATCTTGTGTGCTTTGCTCTATGCCTACTCCTTCTCCCATTCACATAGTCTGTTTTCATTGCTAAGAGTCTTAGCAGGGAAATTCTGATCCCTTATGGCAATGTTAGAGTAGACTATTTCAGCTGGAAGGGACCTGTAACTATCTTCTAGTCTAACTGCCTGACCAATTCAGGGCTGACCAAAAGTTAAAGCATGTTATTAAGGGCATAGTCCAAATGCCTCTTAAACACTGACAGGCCTCAGCATCGGCCACCTCCCTAGGAAGCCTGTTCCAGTGTTTGACCACCCTTTTGGTAAAGAATTGCTTCCTGATGTCCAGTCTAAACCTCCCCTGGCACAGCTTTGAACCATTCCCACGTGTCCTATCACTGGATCCCAGGGAGAAGAGATCAGGACCTCCCTCTCCACGTCCCCACCTCAGGAAGCTGTAAGAGCAATGAGGTTGCCCCTCAGCTCCTTTTCTCCAAAACAGACAAGCCCAAAGTCCTCGGCCACTCCTCATAGGACATGCCTTCCAGCCCTTTCACCAGTTTTGTTGCTCGCCCTCCTCTGGACACATTCAAGGACCTTCACATCCCTCTTAAATTGTGGGGCCCAGAACTGCACACAATGTTCAAGGTGAGGCCGCACCAACACTGAATACAGCGGGATAATCACCCCTTTTGACTGGCTGGTTATGCTGTGTCTGCTGCACCCCGGGATGCGGTTTGCCCTCCCGGCTGCCAGGGCACACTGCTGCCTCATATTGAGCCTGCTGCCGACCAGCACCCCCAGATCCCTTTCTGCAGGGCTGCTCTCCAGCCACTCCTCTCCCAATTTAGACTTATGCATGGCATTATTCTGCCCTAGGTGCTGAATCTGGCATTTGGCCTTGCTAAATTTTATCCTATTAATCATTATCCAATGCTCCAATCTATCCAGATCCCTCTGCAAGGCATCACATTCCTCAAGAGAGTCAACAGCACCTCCCAGTTTGGTATCATCAGCAAACTTGCTAATGGTGCATTCAACTCCTGCATCCAGATCATTGATAAATATATTATCATAGAATCATAGAATTGCTGAGGTTGGAAGGGACCTTTAAGATCATCAAGTCCAACCATTAACCTAACCTGACAAAACCACTTCTAAACCATGTCCCCAAGTACCACATCTACCCTTTTTTTAAACACCTCCGGGGATGGCGAATCCACCACCTCCCTGAGCAGCCTATTCCAAATGTTTAATAACCCTTTCAGTGGAAAAAAAATTTCCTAATATCCAATCTAAACCTTGCCTGGCATAACTTGAACCCATTTCCTCTCATCACTTGTCACCAGGGAGAAGAGGTCAGCCCCCACCTCTCTACAACCTCCTTTAAGGTAGTTGTTGAGAGTCATAAGGTCTCCCCTCAGCCTCCTCTTCTTGAGGCTAAACAACCCCAGTTCCCTCAGTCGTTCCTCATAAGACTTGTCCTCCAGACCCCTCACCAGCTTCATTGCCCTTCTCTGGACACCCTCCAACACCTCAATGTCCTTCTTGTAGTGAGGGGCCCAAAACTGAACACAGTACTCGAGGTGTGGCCTCAACAGTGCTGAGTACAGCAGGGCATCTACCACCTTCAGAATTTCTCAGTGGAATGGCTTCCACTGTGGAGGACACAGATAGCCAGAAAATGCTGCAGACAAAAGCCAAGGAAATATCAGTCCCAGATCAGCTTAGTCAAAATGCAGATTTGAAGGTCCTGTCCCAAAGACTGGACAGTTAAGATATTTGAGTTAGAGTGCAGGACTGGCCTGCTTTGCAGGGCAGACCCTGAAGCCTGAGTATATTTTGTCAGGACAGTAAGTGACCAAACCCAAAAAGTTAAATGAAATAAAGAGAAAAATATGGCTTTATATAGCAACAAAAACCAGAGATGTGGGTTTGCTTTTTTTTTTTTCCTTGAAGAGACAGAAGGGTATTTTTGGTTGGTGTTTCTTTTTGTTTTAATGTTACCTCACCAACATTTCAAATCATTTTACTTTATAACACACCAAGAGGTACGGTGTACTATACCACACCAAGAGGTGGGGACACCTTCCCTGGCCCCACAGAAGCCAGAGAAAATGGAGAAGGACCATGTGTCTATGGTCTTAGTCTCCCATGGTAGTGTTCTTACTTCAAAAACTACCATTGTTTCAGCATTCATAAATGCTTGTGATGACAAACCAAGTACAATTACCAGCTGATGGCATGGCTACGAGCAATAAGCAAGACAATTTTTGGGGTGAGGTTGTAATGGGAGGAGATCTTGGGGCAGACAAGGTAAAATGCAAGAGAGGCTAAAAGTGATTACAGAGCTTTGAGACTGAGAGCCCCTTGGCTAATTGGCCTGGCATAATACATGACTTCTTCTTTTCTGGTTCAGTAGAACTGGTTGACTTGCAACAACTGAATTATCTTCTGTAAGGGAGGAATGGAAGGTGGTCCCTCGAGGTCAATAAGAAGTAGCAGGTAGAGAGAAAGGACAAACAGAAATGGACAGAAATGGAAATGCCCTGAGATTGCACTGACCAGCTTCATTAGATATGCATTTCAGAATTGCCCTGGAAGGGGTGGGTCATGTGAGGAAAAGGGAAGAACATTTTGGAGGGGGTTTTGTTAGCATCATAGGGGAGATCAAGTGAGAGATAAAAGAATAACAGCAGGGAGATCATGAGGTTTCCGTTGAAAGAAATGCATACCAGCTTTTTCCCACGGAAGAACTGGACAGAAGTACTCTATATAAATGCTAGAAATTGTAAAGCTACACTTAGGGAATGGGTACGAAAAAGATTATTGAGAGCAGGCACCATAAAGAACTGAGGATAAGATGAATAGCGGTGATGGATCCTGTTGTAATATGGTCAGGTAGCGGTAGGCACATTTATCCTTTGAGCAGTACAAGAGGAGGAGGAGGAGGAGGACTCAGAGTCATTTGTCTTGGCAGGAAGCCCAGGTTACAGAGAGTGAAGGGCTAATGAAAGGTCTGGAAGATGGAAGAGATAGAGCTGTCCTCTGAAGATGCTCTGGTTTTGAGCTACTTAGATCAAGAAATGGAGGCAAAATCTTTTGCTTACTTGGTCCAAGCACAGAAGCAGGAATAATTAAAAGGACATGAGGAGGCTTTAAGACTCCTTAGTGTGAGAATTATAGTCATATGAGGTGAGGGAAAGTGGGAGGAAAGAGCAGGAAGCAAAGAAGAGTGAAACAAATTTTGTATGGTAGGTTTTTGGTGCATTAAGCCAAGAGCTTTCTTGTTTTGCAACAGTGCACTCAATAGCTTAGAATGGCACAGAAACATGATCAATTTACTGTACTTATCCTCTTTGCTGTGTCATTCTTCTCTTTTTATTTTATATTTATTTAACATTTCTGAAGCCTGAAAGATTTTGAAAAACATTCATTTGTCAAAGATTCAACTCAAAAGGGCTTCTCTGAGGCTCTGCAGATGTTATGGTGCAGGGGCAGGGAAGAATGCACTGTATTTACAATTCTATTCCTGTAACAGATAATCAATACATTGTGCTCTGCTGTGCTAAAAAAAAAAAAAAAAAAGAAGGAATATGAGTGCCAAACTGTGATGATAAGCCCTTTGTGTCTTGAGTGCACTCATTTTCTAAGGATTAGGGGGCTGTCCTTTATCAGCCAGTTCACTTCTGAAAGTCCATGATAGATTGCTGCTTGCCCGTCTGCTCCAAACAGCAGCAACCTCAACTTTATCAGTGAGGAAACCCCCAAACACAGCTGTCAGTAGGTAATGCAGAAATATCGCTTTCTCAGGGCAGACTCTCGCAAGCAAACCTTACCTTTTTCTCTGGAGCAATAAAAACTGCAATAGAAAGAGGACTTTGGAAGTAAGGCATTTACAAACAGCCATTTCTTTCTTTCTTTCTTTGTTTTTCTGTAGGTTTTTTTTGGTTGTGGGTTTTGTTGTTTTTTTTTTTTTTTTTGAGGGGAGGGGGAGGGTTGGGCTTTTGGGGTAGTTATTTCCTTTGTGCTCAGGCTGAAGGGAAATGGTCCTTCAGCATCTATTCTAATGTGGTCATTTATCTAGTGCTGGAAGAGTTGTGGGTAAATGGGGCTAAGGTCTAACACATAAAGAAATGTCTGCCAGCAAGAGATGTTTTAGCAGGTTAATGAGGAACTTGGTAACAGCCTAGCAGGGTCATTGCAAAATCACATTTCTTTTTGCTGAAATCACTTCAGCCTTTTAAACCCACAGGAAAATACTCTGCTACTTTACAGGGAGATTTTGTTGAATTGAAAACGGTGTAGATAACGTTATTTTTGAGTATTGTTAACAGACGTAGGAAAAAAACAGTGTGAAAATGGACATCTCTACTTGCTACTGCAGTTGGTGGGCCAGAGGAGGGCAGAAGGCCCTAATTTCGTCACCTCAGATTTGCTGCACCCAGGTTTTCTCCAGAGAGATTGCAAGGTCAACTCATCCCTCAGCGGCAAGCGATACCACCCCGAGGCTTCTCCTATGATAAGGTACAGCAAATTATCAACAAAATGGCTCCAGGATCTGAAAGTTACCCTCTGCCCAAAAGGCTCGAGGAAAATGAACAAAGACTTGGGTGGGCACCTGCAGCTGCAGCAACTCGGAGGTGAGGGGAGAGTCCATCTTCGAGTCCAGCTTTGGGCTGGAATTAGGGTTTGCAGATGCGGTCAAGCACTCAGAAAAGTTACGTGTCTGGAAAGCGCCATGCACAGTTCTGCTGTCCTGCAATGTAACTGCAAATTGTCATCCAAAAGAAACATAACTCTTGAAGACATCAACTATTCTAGATTTTTTTTTTTTTTCATTTTTATTGGAGCATATCTGTTCACTAATTCACGTTACACTACAGATGGGAAGGAGCTGAGTTTTACAGGCTTGCTTTTTAATATCAGCAATTTTTTTGCAAGGAAGCAGTTGTAATGCAGAGATGTCTGGGTGAGATACCTGAGCAAAAGCAATCAGTTTGGCTCTGCCACTGCTCTGCTCCACGTGGCTGAAATTATTCTGCTGAAAAACAAGGTAAACTTCCCCATCAATTCTACGCTGCCGAAGCCATCCCGAGACTAATACTCCAGCTGCCTCACCTTCCGCTGTTTAGGTAGATTTTCTGGGGAAAAAGAACTTATTAAAAGTATATTGACCTTCAAAATATGTGGCGCTTTTCTTTCAGTTCTGCCACTGGTCCTGAAAAATCCCCTCTGAGAAATAAGAGCTACAGCATTTATAAGACTCAGCTTTGCAGTTGGGTGATCTAACAATTCACCCAGGAAGCAGGTTTATATGGTCATGTGTGCAGGAACTAGGGCCCTAAAAAATTAGTTGCAGCATAATTATTTACTTTAGAAAAACAGTATTAACTTTTACTCACCACTTCTCCTCCTCTACTTGAACTCCTATGGACTGGAACTTACTGGTTGCTTTATTTTCACCTGATTTGGTGGATTCTTCAGCACCATCAACCTTAAAAAAAACCCCAACCAGCTAATTAGAATGTATTTTACCAGAGATATCACCCAGCTACTTACAATTTCTATGCATGATAACTACTAAGTGTCTGCACATAAGTACCTTTATAAACAGATAGTTTATCTATGCTGTGCCCATTTCTGATGTTATTAGTGAATATTCATCATTCTTGTTAATCTAGAAAGCATTTCTGGTAAGACAACATTCGGCCTGCAAAACACAGATGGAGTTTATCCAGTATTTTATGGAGCCTGGATGCTCACATTTGCCAGATCAAATCTCTGAGCAGCTGTAACTCCACTTTCTGCACTCTACCATTTGTTTCATTTTACCTGTTAGTCTGTATGTGCATGCATATATGAACTCCTGTCAAAATTATGTGTTTATTTTGTTTAAATGTTAGTGCCCTGAATCAGAGCAATGTACAGATCAGATTTAAAGAAAGCAGATGCAGCTCTTGGAATACATTTTCTTTAGTGCTTCATCATGCAAACAGGTGGTCTCCAGGAACACAAGCACTTTATACCACCTCTCCATCGCCATGAGGAGATTTATACCAATGGTATAAAGTTAAAATTTAACCACAGATGTGTCTTTGAGCAAAATCACCAGCTTCTGGGTCCAGTCAGTGTAGTTGTTAATTCCCACTGGTATATATGACATCGTTAGTCATACAAGAAAAAAATTCTGGCACACAGGATTTTTAGACCACAGCAGTGTTAAGAAGTGGCCTGTGGACCACTCTGACCCCGGGTGTGCAAAATCTCCAGCTGTAGTTAGCATCTGTTCCACCGGTAAGTAAGCTTGTTGTTGAAAGCCAATTTACCAGCTATCCAGGAAAATTGCTCAAGGAGGGATGGGAGTTACAGAGCTGTTCTGTGAAGGAGGGTACTTACCTGACACTGAGGCTTTTGGGAAGATAACTATGCCTTAAATCCCATAAGTGACAGAGGACCAACCTTTTGATGGAAGAGTTTTTGTTTGCTTTGCTTTACTTTACTTGTTTGCTAAACAGATTTACAGCAAAGGCTTGTGGTGTCCTAAGAGTGAGTGAGGGGGTACGGAGGACACATGGAGGTTCATCACAAGTGCACATTAGGGTTATTTACTAGAGGAGGAAGCAAACCAAGAACACGTTTCTGGCTAAAGCAGCTTGCCCTGCTTTACAGAGATGGGCCAGACGACAAGTAAGGTGTATACACGGTCTGAGTTCAATCTAAGCCTAAACTAGGCTCCCTTTACAGTCAGTGGAGAGAGACTGACTTCATACTGCCAGTCAGAGGGCTGACAGCCTACCTACCTTTTTTAGGCAGTTGTCTGTAAGAGAAGTAATTTCTGGCAGCAACAGCAATCTTACGGTATTTCCACTCCCACACTACCGCTTCAGCTGTACCAGCCCAACTGCTTGTGCAATGATGCTGCAAAATGGGCTAGACAGCAGACTGGCAAAGTAGTTTTCTTTTCTTTGTGAAGCTTATCTGACTCTAAAAATCTCGTCGATGGGCACAACTGGGAGGGTGGCACAGTGCACAGGCAGGAATCCTGTAAGGCTGTATCACTGCTGAAAGTTTCGCTTCATGTAATCCCTTCTTCAGGCATCTCCATTGGTTTGTACACCAAAACTACCCTGACAGCTCCTCTTGTACCATCCCCAGGCAGCTTTCCCATATGATTATGTTGGTCATCTGTAAATCTAAAAATTTTAGAGGGATATTTGCAAAGGCTTGAACAGCATTTGAGGCTCTGGTTTCCTCAGATCTCAGGAAACTGAGTCCCCTATACCTCTCAAAAGCAGCATTTGTTACTTGCAGTAACACCACCTTAAGAAGAGACAACGGGTAGATGGTGTCTCAAGAACTCCGATTCACATTACAGTGGTTTGTTTTGGCTTCTGCAAAGGTGGAAATTATTTCTTCCTACCCATTACTTTGCAGGGTGTTTGCCTGCTAAGGAGTCTTTGTTGTTTTGCTCAGTGAAATGAGGGTTTGCAACAATAAAATGGCACCTTAGGCTTGGTGGGGTATGGGAATAAGTAATAGAAGAGCTGTCCTCAATCCCTGTCCCACCTGGATCTTGTTTAACACTGAACATCAGCCCTTCTTTCAGAATATACCCAAAACAAACAGCTGTGAAGCAGAAAGAGGCTACAACAAAGGCAGTAAACTGAACCCACAGGCAATAGTAATTATTGCCCTTCCAAGAAGAAGTAAGAGAAAAGTCACAGCTTCTCCAGGAGCTGCCCCTGGGATGGCATACTTCTACACAGCGCCTCTCATCTCATCAGGCTGATGCAGAGATTTCACGGTAAATTCTTAGGCTTTGCTAATCAGATAAGCCTGTCCAGGCACATAGTGCTGTGCTTACAGCCCTCATCTGCAAAAAAAAAATCATGTCTTCTTGCAAAGGCTGATAAGCTGTGGATTGCTATTCTATTTGCTTGGGATCCATCTCCCATCAAAACCTCTGTTGATTCTCAGTTGATTGTAAGTTCAAGTACTTTGTTGCAAAAGCTAATCCTGCAAGCAGGTAGTTGGAGTCCTATGCACATTCTTTTGAGGGGGGGCGGTATGGGAAAGATTAATTAGGAAAGCAGATTAAATTGGTCTAGTTTATTTGCTCTTCTCCTTTCTGTAAATAGGAGTGAACTTTGGCAGGGTTAGTTTTCTTGTTTCGTTCCACTAGAGGTAACAAAAGGTAATTTTCTTTAACAAGGGGAAATCAGAAGGAACTTATCCTCTGCTCTTGCGTCTGAGATAGGAACAAAGCTCCCTCATTCAAGCGGCTACCAGTCATTATGAAATGCATGAATAAGCAGTGACAATTAATTCAGTGAGGCTGGACGAAAATACTTTTTGGGTGATAGTGTAGTGTAAATCATTGTTTTACACATTCCCTTTCAATGATTTAATTCATGCCTTTCTGACCCCCGCTGTGTTATGATTCATAGATTAGTGCTCATGTGTGTAATTTTACAGAGCTGAATAACAAGCAGCAAGGAGACTTAAACAAGTCCTCACATCTGATGTTTTTACGATAAATTAGTATAAATAACATCATTAGTACCACGCGGAATGATTACGCTGCTGCAATTTCTACATAGGTACCTGTCAGGAAAAAAAGAAAAATACACAAAACATTGCATAATGAGCAGTAAAACAAATGTAGAAATCCAAAACAATAGCAGGCATATAACCCACAGTGCATACCACACCTGTATTCCAATAGATAAGCATCTGTTTTTCTTGAAGTGGTCCTTCTTCCTATCTTCTACTGCAACGGTGGCAATGGTTGTGGTGGTGGTGACGGTGGCAGTATTGTTGCCTACGTGTTGACTTGCAGGGCCATGGATCTGTGCATTGGCAGCTTCAATAGCGGCTGTTAATGCCTTCATACTGTCCAAGCTCTCTGTGGAGTTGCTAAGTCCAGACTGACTGATGATATCTCCCCTCTGTCCATGCCCATCCATATATGCATCTTGGGCAGACTCTGTGCTGCTCTGGGCTGTGATGGAAATAAATGGTTTGGTGGTAGTTCTTGGTGGGACTGGAGGTGGTGTCTTCTTATAGGTGGTAATGCACGATGACACTGGAAAAAACATATGAGGGTTCTTGATTTATTGATGCTGCAGGGAAAATGGATGCAAATATGATCTTAAAGCACAAGCGAACATAGACAGAGCAGACATAAGGAAGACGCGGTTAGCCAAAGAGCCCCCAAAAGCTCCAGTGTCAATGCCATGGAAATACGTCACTTATCAGTGTCCTGTTCCTACTGATGCGAGTGGCAGAATTGCCAGTAGAAGGAAAGAAATTAGCTACTTGCCAAGTTCCTCTTTAGTCTTTTTAGGATTGTTTTCTCCAGTATATTTTCTACTAACTGTTTTAAGTCCTGTGGGAACAAGTCCACCAAAATGTTTGTTCCACTCATGACTTCCAAACAAGATTCACAAGGATGATGAGTCTCCAACCACTTATCCTAGCTAAACTGTACTTCATGCGGTTTTATTGCAATTGTATTCTGCTTCTCTACCCTGTCCTATTGTATTTACCAAGAATTTTAAACTACATTTTTCTGATCAGAGAGAGATCCCCAAACTGTCCTAGGTCAAAGTCTGTTAACACTCACCATGCTTGGACTTGTGTATTTCTTACTATAAACTGTCTCACTTGTTGCACAGACTTCTTAAATACTTTGAAATGCTTTGTAAGCTGCTGAGGACATATTTTAAAACAACATTTTGCCACACCTAAAGTTCTCATAATAAATATAACATATCAGTTCTGGAAAAAATTTGCTAAATTTTACACACAGGGACTTAGAATAATGAAGTCAATAGCTAAAGCTTGCCAGTCGGTGGGACTACTTAAAGGAAATTGTAAGTATAAATGTTTGCAACAACAAAGGCTTTAATAAAAGTTTATGAGGACTCCTCTTCTCATATTTTGAAGGCCATGCTCCATTTGTAACTGCTTTCTATATGGATTTAGAAGATTAGCTTGAGGTTCCCAGGTTAAAAACTATTGGCCTGTGTTTACAGAATTACATGCAGAAAGCACTACATGAAGAGAAAAACATCTTCCTTTAAGGGATAGCTGGCAGCTCTGCATTGCTGAAGTCCTGGAATGCTTTCAAACGAGGAAAGAAAGTCCATTAAGAACAAAAACAATCATGATATGCTCTATTTTTTAAGAAAATAAATGCAGGCATGAACCTGTGCAAAGTTCAGACACAAACATGTTAACATAAATTCTTATTAACAGTAATCATACGGCAAGAAATTATTCATCAGATCATTTTAATTGGCAGACGTCTATGCCACCCACATAAAAGGTAACTCTGCTACAGCTGTTCTACTCTCTGTTTGCACTGTATGTGCTTGTCGAGCCAGAAGCCATTATGGTATTAATTTGACTAGCTCAGATCCATATGCCTCATATCTCCTGATAGCTGTAGGAATAGTTATAGCGTAAAAGGTGTTTCCAGGGCATGAAATCACATGGGATTTTTTTTAAGGACTCTAGTATAATTTCTGATAACATGTCTGAACGCGTGTTAAACACATTGAATGCTAATGGAAAAAGAGCGTTTCACTAAGGTAGTGAGGGTTTTGAAACTATGATTCACTTCTGAAGAATCAAACAGAAACCACAGCATCTTTGAGAGAAGAGATGGCTAAAAATGAACTTGTCAAATTTTAACTCTGGGAAAGTGAATAGTTGATGGGGGTTAAAGGTGTTTTTCAAAGTGCTTATGACAAGACCAATATCTAGAACTAAGAGAAACAATGACAATTTTACAAAAGGGATTGTGAATTTGGTGCCGTTCTGCATTGGTTTTGATGCTGCCAAAAAGCATTTGTTGCGACTGTGCATGCTCAGGCAAATCAGCTGCTGTTGCTGCAGCACAAACGTTTACTCTGGGACTTATGGAGAATTGTGCGGGCTGCTGCTTGGGTGATGATATCCCAGAAACGACCCAGGTGGTTCGTGGTCTGGAGAATGTTCTCTGAGTGGTGGAAATGCAAGCTGAAATTCACCACTGAAGAATTCAAAGCACATACACACACATATATCCAGGTAACGCTTTGGGAAGCCTGTGCCAAACTTGTCCAACAGAGGTTTGTGTGCCATGAAATTTTGAAATTCAGCAAACTATAAATTACCCCATTTAAAATATGCTAGGCACGGTCATTGTGGAACTCCTGGGGAGATGCCAGGACCTTCAGGACACCCCAGCAAGGCACGCAAGTATAATTTTTCATACCTAGCATAGAGGGAAATACACAGAAACACACTTGAAAAGTGCTCTTAGGTAGGATAGAGAGCTTCAAAAATTAAAAGCAAGCATTAACAAGACTGGTCCCCACATCACTGGTCATCCCCCCCTAGAAAGAGAATCAATAGCAACTGTCTGTCAACAGCTACTGGGCACTCTGGACACAGCAGTACAAATACAGAAACGCCTGATTAAGATGTCTTTCATTCTGTTGGTAAATGTACTCAATGAGGAGTCTAATCCACACTGCAATGAAAGATGTTTGCACTCAGCTAATTAAATCTGAAGTTATTCTTTAAAAGGGGGAGAGAATTGACAAGTCATACGGTGAAATTGTAAAGAGAAAGAGCAAACGTTCTTTTAGCAAGTCAAAACAAATCCTCGGTTTCCTGGAGTCACGCAGCACATACTGTACAGCTCCGGAGAAGCAGAGTGTGCAAGTCATAAAAGAACCCCAGGCACTTCATTACTGGAAATGATGTAAGCTCCCGCCGCTCCGCTGCAGAAACGACAACAAAACAATGCTCCGGCCGCCGCCGCCTTTGGAGGCAGCTGCTCTCTAAATGTCGTAGCTGGCCGAGCCCTCCAAAGGGCTGAAGCACAACAACGAAAGGGATTCGGTGCATCAGTTTTTCTCCGGCTGCTTTCAAGAACCTGGCAACTTGTAACATGGCAACCTGAAGGATCTGCCGGCTTTTCAAGTGGCTACGGTATTTTAAATGCTAAGCTGCTTGAAAACAAAACGAGTACTCCCCAAGGAAAATGACAAAACCTTGGTGCTCTCCTTGTGCAGCCAAGAGAGGCTGAGCATTCAGTCGGTGCGGGAAGAGCACATCACATTGCTTTCTGTCCCCGTGGGCAAAGGGGAAGCTCATCCATCCAGCTGTCCCGCAGCAAAGATGGACTACCCAGGAGGAGGACTGAGGGAGAAGATTACAGGATCACGGGACACATGAAAAAGATGGAGAAATCCTCACTTCACACACAGGGAATTTTCAAGGGGTTTTGCACATGAAAGTTAGTTTAATTCATATCAGGAAGTGAATTTAGAGGGCTGTATAAATTCCCTGATAAATATGTTCTTGGACATGGATCAAGGAGCGAAGTTCTGTACGGAAACTGATCTGACTGGAGAGTCAAGTCGAAGTAGCCTAATTTTTCATTAAAATTGTTTAGATGTGGAGTTAATCAGAAACAACTTCTGAATAGCAAACTTACATATGAACCTTCAGTTTGTCACAACATAGAGAAGCTTTTCATATTAATTTCCAGAGCACACATGCTGCTGGAGCAGGTATACGTTTCTCTCCTAGGGCATATGCAAGGTTTAATCCAGAAACCAGTTAAGTCATGTGCAAGAATCCTGACTCTGAAAGCACCTTGAATCAGGCTCTGCATTTCCAGCTGTATCAATCCACTAAGCAATGCTCTCCTTTTCGTTTTGATCTTTATCCTGTTTCTGTGGCCTGCCTCCGGGTTACAGTTTAATCCCAAATACCCAGTGAAAAAGCACTTTCTCCAGATTAAAAAAAAAAAAAAAAAGAAGTCATGGTGTTTGTCCTCCTAGCCAGTATTTCCAAACAACTAGCTCATGGGACAGGAATTTGGAACAGGGAGTGTCAACCACCCAGTTCAGAAGGAAGTCTAATGATAAAAAAAATAATCCCAGATTGCATAATAATAAAGGCTTGAATTTGAATGTTTCATTGTAAGAGCACTTCAGTTGTTTAAACATGCTCACTAGGGAGATGAGCCCTCGGGAACAAACATCAGCACGCAAACACAGATTTTTAGCTCAGTGAATGGGTGCTCAGGAGAACCCCAGGGCAGATTACTAGTTGTGAAGAGATCAAATTCATGCAGTACTTTGAACAGTTCAAGTGATGAGATATGTAAGCAATATCTTTCTAATTTAGCAATCTCATATAAGCTTGGGTAACAAGTACAAGAATAAATGAAAGCACAAATTTAAAGTTAATTAAAATAATAGTGTTTCTCTTGAGAAACAGGACTAATTCCACAGTTTGAAAGGAGCAGCAAAGGACACAACTTGTGCACAACCAAGTATTACGGTACAAGGCAGGAGTTCTTCCAACCTGAACAGATAGATCTCATTCTTCTGATTTACTGCCTGTAATACAGGTGTGTTATCAGCAGTGCCCTCGCACCTCACACAACTGCGACACAAAACATGGATGTAGGCACATCCAAGCACACCTGGGCCTCACAACTGCAGCCCCTGAGCTCCCCACACAGAGGTGCAGTGCTCGATTTGGCTTGTTAGACTCAAACAGAGCTGGTTTTCTCCGTACCATGTACTTATAAAAAACTATTTTATCATATGGCAGATGGCTTCTGAAGATTCAGAGATTTGCTATCAAAAAACTGAAATGAAGATTTTCATAAGAAGTTCTAAACTGCCCAAGAGAATAATGCCAGAGTGAATTATGGATGTCATTATCCCAAATGAGAACTACCGAAATCTCTGTACCATGCCATCTTAATGGTTCTGCCAAGGCCATGCTTTTTCCATACCCCTACCACCGTGAAGACAGATATCTTATCCAACAAAAGCCTAAGCTACACTGGATTTGGAAATAGGCATAACTGATCACTAAAATCCCACAGAAATCTATACAAAGTATCTAAACTGGTTATACTTCACACAATAGCACCACAATATTAAGATTTAATATCCCATGTACTCTGAGGTCTAAAAGCTGGTGCTGGTCATCTTTGCATAAATCTGGACATTTTTGTTTGCAAGTAGGGTGCCTCCAGCTTCCCAGCTGGATACAGTAAAAGACCTC